TACCGACTACATAACATCCTGAAATTTTAGCAAATTGACCAACAAGTTGACCAACTGCGCCAGAAGCTGCGGATACGAATACCCTTTCGCCTTCTTTTGGCTGGCAAACTTCGTAGAATCCTCCATATGCACTCAAACCAGACATACCTTTTCAAGAAAGATGCAATTTTTGTGAATAATAAATGTATGCATTTTAAGTATACAACTACTGCAGTACCTGGTGGACATTCTCATTTTATTATTTTCTATATAAATTGGTAGTTTATAATTTCGAACTTACCAAGAATTCCGGTGTAGTAAGAAAGCGGTATATCCTTATGGTCGTCAATTTTGAAAAGAGCACGAACTTCTGGTAAATAAGTGTACTCTTCCCATAGAGTTTCACCCCACACCAAATCACCCTTGCTAAAATTTGGATGCTTCGAGTCCACCACTTCCGATACACCCATTCCTCCTATTGGCTGCATATTAAATCATAAATCAAATCAATTTCAAATATTACTACCAACAAACAAAAAAAAAAAAAAAAAAGAAGAAACTGTATACTTACGTCTCCAAGCTTGAAACCATCAAATGTTTCGGCCATGGAAGATTTTGCTCCTTGCATGAGAAAACATAGATAAGCATCACAAGACAGGTAGAGATTCTTGAGCAAAACACCATTTGAGCCTTCTGGGACTTCCAATTTTATGGTGCTTTCTGTGCTGATTTCGAAATCAGACTCTTTGGGATTCCCATCAATGTACCTCTTAAAAAGAACTTTCTTGTTCTTCACAACTGGAGCTTCTATTATTCCAGGCATTTTGTATCAACTAATCTTGTAAGAAATGAATTTTTGTTTTTGCTTGTACTACCAAACCTTAATTAATTGGCGGATGTACGTCTGATAGTTTTTTGAGTTTATGTTATGCATATTGTGTTCGTATATCTGCATGCCTTTTATAGGGCATAAAAGTATAGAAATAAGAAATGGCGGCTTTATATTTTGACAGCCCCGTGTTGAAAATGAATCATGTTTCGGAGGAATATTATGTTAAGTTTGACAACACAATAAGTTAATCGTGCTATATTTTGTTGTCTGAGTTGAACTTGATAACATTGCTCTTGCATTTACTTATTACAATAAAATATTATTTAGTAAACGGCTGTCCAACCAATATATATTTTCAGAGTCCATCTGAGTTGATTTTTTTTTCTTTGTTTTCATCTTATTTCTTAAACCTTCTTTTTGGCAATGCAATTTGTCTTTTTTTTCCCCTTCTTTTTTCTGTTGGTACAAGTCTATGTAACTTGTTTACTTCATAAAAATGACACCCGGCCCGTCCTTTTTTCCAAAGAAAAGTCTTCATCAGTAACCCGATTCTTTTTTTTGAGTTTATTATTTATTTTGTTGAAAGAAAAAGGAAAGATATTCATGCATTCGGTTTCTGTTGGTGGAAAATGATTAAAAGAAAATGAAACCAAGTAATTAAGTTTGAAGGATCCATGTCATTTTACCATAATTAATAGTGGTAAATTTGGAGTTGATCATGAAAATACCTTGGGATCAGATTCTGTTCAAGATAGGCCGGGGACTTGTGAATATGTAAAAAAAAAAGTTATTGGCTCCTTCAATGTTAAAAAGTAATAACAAATATACATATATATAGTTGAGCAAGTCAAAGATGGAGCACCACTTTTGCTCTCTATGTAAACAACTGTCAATAATTCCCCTCAACAAGAGTGGCTTCCGCCTATCCATTGATGCGGAGGCGAAGGAAGATGTTGTGAGAATATTTACCTAGTTAATTTTTTGCAGTAGATTATTTGCGAAGCGAATTAATGACTTCAAAATTATTTAATAATAATTGTTATAAATAGATCTCTTACGAATGGCAAATTTTAGCCATTTCGATTTCTTTCTATGCCAAAAACTTGCAATACATATACTTTTCCCTAATTTACGACAATTGTATTAAGAAATGGTTTCAGGAAATTTATTTTTACGGCGGATTTTTCCGTTATAAAGATGCCAGGAATTTAAGCGGTTCTACAATCTCTCGTCGGGAGTTAAGCCTTGTTTGGTAAACCATGTGATCGAAGTTTCGTATTTACCCATCATTTTAACAATCTAATTCAGGTTTTTGCTTTATACTCACTCCATTCCACAAAACTTGTCCACATTCAGTTTTAAATTTTGTACTATTTTTAATACAAATTTAAAAATTTAATGTGGACTATTTGTGTGATACGTATAATTTTATTAAAACAGAAAAAAATGGAAAAAAGCATACAACACAAGTGGGTACGTCTCAATGTGTTCATGTGAGAAGAGAAGATATGAACACAAATCCGGTCAAACTTTGACTTTTATCCCAATTATCCACTGAAAGTTAACAGTTCCGAATTCTTGGACACAGTAAATGTAGATTGATTTCATTGCTTATAATGAAAAAGTAAATGTAGATTGATTAATTAGAGTGATAATTAATAATTTGACTTCTAATCACTCAAATACTTTTAAAAAAATCAGGATATTACTGCTTAATTATTATTTCCTCCATTTCAATTTGTAAGTCATTTTAGGTTTGGAGAAATTTTTCAAAATGTAGGTCGTTTTATAAATTCTAAGCAAATTAATGACCATTTTCTAACTTTACCCTCAATAAATGATGTTAATATATTTTCATTTAGTCTTGTTTATAATTTCAATGTAATTAATGAGGGATAATATAAATATTTATACATAAATTAATTATTGAATGATTGTCTCCTTAGTTTACATACCAAGTCTAAAAAAACTTATATTTTAAAAATAGGAGGAGTATAATATAATGATTCGTTATTGACTAAAGTTTTTCTTCATAGGCAGAACTACTTTGAAGTTTGAAACTTTCAATTCTGTACCGTACGAATCCAAGAAGACTGTAAGAACATGCAATGTAAATGGTGCATTAAATTAATAATTGATTGAATTTAGACTATTATAATAATTTTCGTTTGGAAAGTTGTCAGATTCATAACTTACGCTGCCAATCATTTATTGCGTATGTAATAATGTTATTACATCTTTCTCAAAATTATTAACCTGTTTCAGGTTTCGATCACTTTTAGTACAATTTAATCTAGAAATAAAAATAAAAATTAGACGATAATTTCAGAACAGATGGAGTATTTTTTCGTGTTCTTTTATCCATTTTTAAGTTATGTTATTGACTATCTTATTTTTATTTTATTTTTTCGTGTTCTTTTATCCATTTTTAAGTTTTGTTATTGACTATCTTACGATTGTGTCTTAAATAAAGGTGTACAACCGGAGAATTTCCAAGAGGATTAGTCATCATAACACTGTTCTTGACTGAGTATTAATTGTATGCTTTAAGGAAAGAAGAAGTTGAGACATTTTACATTTATTCTAATGCACAATGATCGATCACCAACGTTGACATTGATTGGCCTCCCTGTTTTCAAAAATCAAAATAGAGAACGATATATCAGTACTTAATGTTGAAAGGCATCCGAGAGTAACGGCTGATAGCGATTGAGTTTGGCCTTTGGGAAAAGAATAATAACAAAAGGCAGTATATACGTGATCGTTGATTTAAACTTTCTTGTATATACTACAAATTCGTCCCTTCTTTGATTAATTTTTTTTTTCTTTTTTAACCCAGTTTTGTACCAATAATGCCTATATATTTTCCTTTGATTATATGCAAATTTGTCGATCCTTCTCTGATTTTTTCATTTCGTCCCAGTTTTGTACTACCATTACGATCTTTTTTTTTTTCAAAAAAATAAAAATTAGATAGGCTCAACGAGAACCGAATTCTTGACCTCTAGTTAATAATAATCTCATCCTAATCCCCTAATCCCTCTATCTAAGCCTCCCACTATCATCCTAATCTCACTCCCACTGACTAAAATGCATAAATTTCTATGTCTACTTGACAAGTAAATAAACCCAAACGGGACAAAAGTAGTCTGGTGCGTAGAGGGTTTGTTGGATTATATATCAAATTGAATTAAATATTAAGCCAGTTAATTTGTATTTTTGTTGGGAGAAAAATATTAAGCGAGTTGTGTTCCTCGTTGCTGATTGGTGACAATAAGTTACAATCCTTTGGTCCTGAAATCAAAATTAGTATATATATATATATATATATATATATTTGTGTGTATATGTGTTTGTGTGCGCGCGCGTTTTCTCAAGAATCCTAAAGTTTCGTGGCTCATACACAAAATTTTTGGGCTTTTCACTTATTCCTTTTTTTTTTTTTCCTTTTTTTTAGGAAGAAGAGAAATTCATTTAATTTGTTAGGAATTCGCCCAACACGGAATGAGGTACAAATTCGAGAATGATATCCCAATATTTTTCAAAGTTTCGTTTAACTTCTGTAAATTGTGCTAAACAATGAGGAACTATATTAAATTTTCGGCTTATCCATTTTCGGCTAAACAATTATGTTTGAAGAATCCCCAATTATGTTTGAATTTTAACTAAGTTTTTTCCCCCCTTTTATATCACTCACGTAGTTGAAATACAAGTTCGTTGTGAGCTTCTATCCATGTGATGTGATTGTTAATATTTCAGACCATTGGTAGTCATTAGGTTTTTTTTTTTTTTCATTATTAACTTTCAGTTGACAATACATTTATGAAATTAATTATTTTGACCATGTTGGTATGGTGTGCTTATAATATGTTTTATGAATTTGTATTCTTAAACTATAAAAAAACACATTTGGTTCTAATCCTTAAACACATCGTCTTGCCGAACCCAAGTAGAGGCATCCCTGACCGTCTTGTAAACCTCAACTGACATAGCTGTTGCCACAGTATAAGCATTATAATTTTCCATACAAAAACATCATCTCCATTCCTTTAAATTGAGATTATTATAACACAAGCTTTTCATCCTCATCACAGAAATTTCTCTGTAATGCCATTTCACCTCATCCTCTCATCGGAAAGGACATCTAGTGTTCGCACAAGGAAACAAATATTCATGCGTTGACAAAACTTGAAACTTTTCTTTTATTACCAACAAAACTTAAGTACATAATATCATCCAAATACGATTTGTAGATATAACTTACATAATCGGTAAATCAATTTTGATTACAACACATTGAGCTGAATCAGTACTAAGAAAAAAAAAAAAACAAATTACATGCATGAGTATTCAGCTTCAACTAGTCACGAAAAACCTTAACAACTTGTTTGCCAAAATTGCTGCCTGTGTAAAGGGCAGAGAAGGCATACGGACCCTTTTCCAGACCAACAACAATGTCTTCAACATATTTGATCCTCTTTTCCAACACATGAGGCAATATGAAGTCGATGAACTTCTGGTAGAGATGAACGTAGTCAAGAACCGCCCATCCTTCCATTTTAAGACGCTTGAAAAGAACCCAATACGCATTTTGTATCGGATCGCGCTTTTCCAGATTGTATTGCGAAATCATTCCGCACACTGAAATCCGACCGTGCATTCTCATGTTTGGTAGAATTGCATCCAATGTCTTTCCCCCGACGTTCTCAAAGTCAATGTCGATTCCCTCAGGGAAGTACCTCTTCAAAGCGGCATTTAAGTCATTTTCTTCTTTGTAATTGAAAGCACCATCAAATCCAAGCTCTTTCAATAGCTCAACCTAGTATAATTTAAGCAAATTAAGGTGAGTTAACCGTTCAAATAGTCTCTTTTTCATTAATTTGTTTTCTTTTTTTTTTTCTTCTAAATTGTTGTACCACAGGTTTATGTTATGATGGAGTACAATAGTGACATGTGATCATAGAGCCAATCATGCTTAGTGAGAAAGATGAGTTTGTTGTTGTTGTTGTTATTGTTTTACCACAAGTCTAGACTCGTACCTTTTCTTTACTTCCGGCACTGCCAACAACATAACATCCTGAAATTTTAGCAAATTGACCAACAAGTTGACCGACTGCCCCAGATGCTGCGGAAACAAATACTCTTTCGCCTTCCTTCGGTTGGCACACTTCGTAGAATCCCCCATATGCACTCAAACCAGACATACCTTTTCAAGAAATTAAGATGATAGTCAATCGATCATAGGTTTTACCATAAACTTTCAAATATGCAAAGTTCATCTAGATTATGTTGTCACTAGCTAGTTAAACCATATATATATATATATATATATATATATAGCTCACATCAAAATTAAGATCGTACGTTTGTCAGATTGGTATCTCATTGGTGGGCATCTCGATTTGATTGCTTTTTATAAAAAAAAAAATTATAGTTTGTAGTAATCAAGAACTTACCAAGAATCCCGGTGTAGTAAGAGAGGGGTATGTCCTTGTGGTCTTGAATCTTGAAAAGAGCACGAACTTCTGGTAAATAAGTGTACTCTTCCCATAGAGTTTCACCCCATACCAAATCACCTTTGGTGAAATTAGGGTGCTTGGAATCCAAAACTTCAGATACACCCATTCCTCCTATTGGCTGCATGTTTACATCAATAGCGTCAACTTCAAAAGTCAAAATTAAAATCGACGGCTCTACATTTATCTCATTATATGAGTTCGACTATACAAAACCTGTACTTACCTCGCCTAGCTTGAAGCCTTCAAAGGTTTCGGCCATGGAAGATTTGGAGCCTTGCATGAGAAAACACAAATAAGCATCACATGACAAGTAAAGATTCTTGAGCAAAACACCATTTGAGCCTTCTGGGACTTGCAATTTGATGGTGCTTTCAGTACTGATTTCAAAATCAGACTCTTTGGGATTCCCATCAATGTACCTTTTAAACAAAACTTTCTTGTTTTTAACAACAGGAGCCGCTATGTTTCCAGGCATATTGTATCGAATACTATTGTTGAAGCAAAGAGAAAAATGTTTGTGAGTTTTGACTAAATTTTGTTTTTTGCTGAACTCTTTTAGTATGATCAGTTGGTATGGACATATTGTTCGATTCGCCGCGCTTTTTATAGAGCAATCTGATTGATGGAAGTAAAAATTGGCGGCTGTAGCCTCAGGTAGCACATGTGGAATTCTGTTGGGTGTTGCTGTCCAATGAAGGAATTTTCTTCTAAGGTTGAAAATAAGTTCTACGATGTCACCAAAATTAATTAAAAATGAATTTTCTTAGGTCTTCGTATGCTACATTAGTCAATGAATCATTCCAAGAAAAAAGCTAATTTAGTCTAATTTGGACGAGGGTAATTCTATAATGAGTCCATGAAATTAAAGTACCCGTGTCATATTTCAGTAATTATTGAATTTGAAGCCAAAAAAAAAAAAAAGAAGAAGAAACAAAAAAGAAAAAAAAAACCATTTGTCTTCTTTAAAATCAGATTTTATTTCGTTGCAATTTCCTCTTATGGAAAGGGGCTCGGTTGAGTCTTCTGAATTCATTTTGAACCCTGTTTCTTGTTAATTTTTAGATATTTTGGATGAACTATTTTTCATGTTCAAGAAATAACTCAAACAAAGCTGATACTCGGTCATTATGTGAACGTAAATCTATTTTTTTAATAAAAATTTGAAGCAAACACAGATTGAGAAAGTCAAACACAGCCATCATTTCGGCTCAAGTGGGACGTATTGCTCTCTTGTAATTTCCCGTTTCTTTCTTCAGGATGATTTATGTGTTTTTCTTATATCTACCTATAAAAAAAGACGAAGACTAAATTTGTGCCAAGGCACGTATTCGTCCGGAAATTAGCGTTTAATGCTGAATGCTTAATATTAAATTAAAAATACTGAATTGATTAAGCAGTTATAGAATAAGTAATAAGCTCACTTTTATTATTTATATTTTGTAGTGCAGTTTCAACACCACTTAATAAATTAAGAGTTTCATTTTTTGTTATCAAACATATTGAGATTAAAAAATGCTTAATTCAATAATTTTAAGCATTAAGTATTTTTATCAAACATGCCCTTAATGTAGCTGTGGAATTTCATGGCAATAGGTATATCTTCTACATTTTCTAACGTAGTTGCAAGTGTCGTTAAATGTTGACTATATTTTGGTTTTGTACTAGCAATAGAGAAGATGAGGACCACTCAATGAATTATATTCGTTTGATTCTTGTAATGCTATAAGTATCGAAAATCAAAACATCGAATCAGCAAATTCAACTTTGGTGACCCCATGAAAACAGTGTTAACTGAAATACTACAATAAATCTGTGTAATTTAGAACTCGCAAATTCTACGGGAGTTCATATTCTACAGGAAATGTTGTTGATGATATTTTTTTTTTTTTTTCAGGAATCGACTATTTCATGTTGATTCTGTTAACTTATATTACAGCTTTGTTTTATCCGTAGATAAGGGATAGCTCGTCCATCTAGAAGGAGCAACCCTTTCTCCTTATCATCAAGCAGTAACTCTTGATGATATACATCTAGGTCCATGTGAAAGTAGTTGTAGCTTAAATTCCTATGTCATACGATCCTCTTTACAAAAACAGTCTCAGGTTTGCTTAAGATGTAAGAACTCAGTTACATTTTGATAATTTGATTTAATCTAACTATTTATCTCAGTAGAAATGATTATTTCCGGATCAAATAAAGAAAAAGGAACCACTCATTTCATTCCAAAACTTTTATTGTATGTTTATTTATTTCTTATTGTTTGGATTTAAAATGACTGGCCCGTGTTGAACCATGTCACCTCGGTACTTACTTCAAACAACGTGGCTTATAATATCTTTTATTCTGTTATTTTTATGTAGAAGTTCTTTTTTTTTTTTTTTTGACCCTTTTTCCTCTTTCCGTGGATTGAATGGTTGATTCTACAGTTGTTTTTCCTGTTCGTACTATTTGGACTAAATGGTTATCGCAGTATATTTTAATGTGGCTGTATTTTTGAAAATTTTTATTGCATTTAGTCAAAAACAACAATTTTTTTTATAAAATAAACTGAATAAATATCCCTGAACATCCATTTGTTAATATTTTTCCCGATTACACAGTGTGAAAGCACAAGAGGCGTTACCTATGTATTTGTGGATCTATAAAGAAAGAATTAACTACTTAATCAAGATTTCACCTATGTGGAGCACTAACTGTATGATTTAAGGTGTATCAAATATACGTTACATGGTTGACTAATACTTGTAAAACACTAATTTTTGAACAATTATTTGCTTTTAATAAAGTACTCATTCTGTCTAAGAAAAAAGTTCATATCACAATTTCCTGTCTGCATTATAATTAAAAGCAAAACAGATTTCTAACTATAATGTACACTATTTTCCTTAAAAGAAGAATTGAAATTTAAGCCAAAATTTTTTTTTTTTATTATGTTTTTGGAAAGGGGTTAAGCAAAAGGTTGGTGTAACAGGAGTTCGAAGTTGCAGGGTCAAATTTTCTTGAATCTCAAATGGGACCGGCAAGCCGCAAAGGAGATATACTTAATTGGTCACCAAACCTTTTCAAAAAAAAAAATTGGTCACCAAATAAAATGCAGATTGAACAAGTTATCGTTGACTTCCTCAAAGGATGCAATTCCTTGTTTATTTATTTAGTGAACGTCGATGTTCAAAGGAAAAGAGGTTAAAATTGACCGTAGCCTCCTAGTGAAGGTTTTTCGTTATAGGCAGAATTTATTTGAAACAATCATTGACTAGGGAAGGTTTTTCGTTATTGGCACAGGTTCTTTAATTTCAAGCTAACCTCTAAAAATTGCGATGATTTTGGAGTAGAAATTCTCTTCTTTCACTTTTTTCCCCCCCTCGTTGAATTGAGATCCATGAATTGTATTCATTGACCCATTAAACAATATTTATCAACCTGGGACTATGGTTTCTTTATGTGCTTAACGTGTCTTCCAGTTCAACGGACTTGGCAGTTGGCACAGTATTTCATTGAAGTTTGAGTGAATTATAAATTGGACAAAACGCACTTTTAGTCCCTGAACTATAGGTAGTTACAATTTTTGTTCACCATTAATTTTTTACTGATAAAATTAGTTACCACTATCAATTTAATGTCAATTAACGGTCAACTCTTATCTCCGTTAAGTTTTTTTTTTAATTAATTTTTACTGAATTGAAACCCGCAATTTTTATTCAAACAACAAAATCAGTACCCAAATATCTTTTTTTTAACAATTTTAGTTACTTTTTGGGCTCCATTTGGACAAGAGTTTTAAAAAGACTTTTAAGGCTAAAAAGTTTGTCTAGAGTTTAAAATGCGTTTGGACAAAATAATTAAAGTATTTTCTAAATATCAATTTGAAAAAAGAAGGCATAAAATAGACTTTTTGAAACAGGGCTTTTTTCTTCTTTCGCGGGTCTAAATCCGGGTGGAAAGCGAGTTATGAAAAATCGGGTCATGAATATAACGGGAAAAGACTGCCCGTTCTTACTCTCTTAATATCCTAGACCCGCCGCCTCTTTCTCACTCTCTCTCCTTCGGCACCGCCAGTGATGGCGAAGGTGATGGCAAAATCTTCTAAGGGTGTGTCAGTGAGGGCAAAACTCACCAGTGATGGCGACGATGAAGTCGGAGGCAACACCTTGTTCTGGTAATTTTTCTTATTCCCTTGTTTTTCTTTTTTTTTATTAGATTAGGTTTAGCTTCCAATCACTTCTAATACTTGGATTTACATTCAAATCCTTATCGCTTCAATAGGGATCGGTGTCAATTTTTTCGTGGATTTTTTATATTGAATCATATTCAAAGTGGGTTTGTTTTTTGTGTCGGAATTCATTGCAAATTCAGCCTTCACACTACTACAGTTTGCTTTCCTTTGAATCTGGGTAGTGAACAACTCTAGTTAATTAGTTAATAGTCAGCTTATTAGCTCGGATAAGTTAGACTAGAGTGTTGTTTAACTTTTGTGCATTTCAGAGTTTAATGAGTTGGAAAAACTAGTCGCAGTATGTAACCTCCATCAATGGAGTTTTCATTGTCCTTCCAAGAAGGCATTTCCATTTGTTGTGTTCTGTTAGTGTTTGATTGATCTAGGTTAAAGCCCCGCCAAGTCATCAAGCATTTTTGTGTTTGATGAGGTAAAAGTTTGCTTCAAATGTATACACAGACGCGAAGACAAGAGCTCAAAGGACCTACCCATTTTAGAGGAATTATGTTTATACGGTAGTATGACATCTCTGTTTATATATTTTTGCTGTATTCCTCAACTGGCAGATGTTTTTGTTGGCAAAATATGATCTTATGCTCTTCGTTGTTATTTTCCTTTAAACCAATTCCAGCTGGTATTTGATACTAAACTCAACAGCAGAACATCAAATATATTCTTTGATGCTGCTGGTAGTCTTCATTGTCCTTCCAATAGGGCGTTTTATGTTTGTTTTTACACCATCAGCTGAGATCGATGCTACATATAATCCATGTAGCTGACTTGCAGGATAAAGCCTAGTTTAGGAAGCAGTTTAATACTATTCAGTAAACTCATGTCAATGCATCGTATTGTCGGCGTCAAATATTTTCTATTTTGATGCTCTGGATGTCTTGAACATATTGCCAAGATTAGCGGTTCATAAGACTCGGTTTAATGGACTGGAGCATGCAGGTTTTGTAGTACACAGCTAAACCGTATTCATGTAAATAGTTGCTCTTCTATCTGTTTGTTAATAGCGGTCTAGATTGGATAAGTTTTCTTATTTGATCATTCTTTTAGAGTTAGTTGTTAATTTGATTCTGAAAGAAATCGGGGGATGTGAACAAAAGAAACAACACAATACGAACCAAAGAACAAAGATGGAGAAAAGAAACTTTATTGATGGAATCTGAAATTCAACAACAAAAGGAAATTCACAAAGAATTGAAAGTGCTCTAATCGTGTCAAACACTACCCTTAAGACAATATTTGCCCCCACTAGATTGCAAACAGGGTTGAATGGCAATTTGCCTCTAGGACTTAAGAACACAAGAACATACAATTTGCAACTTATTGAATGTTCTT